AATTTCGTATCCATGTGCGTCCAACACAACATCAACTTCTTTGACCACGAGGTCAATCGTCTTCCAGGTCTAGAGAACCGCCTTTTTACGAGAAATTCCTCGATTAGCGGTCCTGGCAGGGTCGCCAAAATGTTACACACGGTACTTTTGATCCCGTTCGAACTAATAGTTGACACGTTTTTGCTGGAACTTATATTTACTGCTTCTTTCTTTGAGATCTATGCTCAGTACATGTGTGTAAGAATATATCCCTATATATCTCTGGTTACAAAACTACTATCTGGTTACATGAACATTTCGTCACACACTCTAATATTTACATAAAGACTTAGTCACGAAATGCCGTACTAGTTTTGTGTCTCACACAAACGCGACACTAGATAGCCATTTACATGAATTATATAATAATTCTCATAAATCTAGCTTTTTGATTGGTTGATTTGCAAATGCTTTACGAGAATGTGTGCGTGTGTGTTCAATAAAACATCTCGACTTTGCTGTCCAGCTTTCTTTTTTTTCATTATCAATTTTCCCTTTTGAGCCCTGCAATATCATACTACCATCCCTATACATATCATTCTTAGGAAGATAAAAACATTGACATTACAAGGGCGGATCCAGGGTTTTTTGAAGGGGGGGTCTCAGGGGTAAATTTTGTGGGCAAAGGAGCCCCAGTCGCATTTTTACCACAAGAAGCCCATTTGCCCTCAGGAATGACAGGGGGGTTGCGACCCCCCCGACCCTCCTCCTGGATCCGCCCTTGCATTAGAAAGACAGTTTTCCAACTCTTACTTGTACATTCAGAATCAGTGAAGGAATAATACCCCGTCAGACACTGATCACATCGGCGTCCCCCTACGCCAGGCTTACACCTGCACTGACCACCATAGAAGCCCATTTGCCCTCAGGAATGACAGGGGAGTCGCAACCCCCCCGACCCTCCCCCTGGATCCGCCCTTGCATTAGAAAGACAGTTTTCCAACTCTTACTTGTACATCCAGAATCAGTGAAGGAATAATACCCCGTCAGACACTGATCACATCTGCGTCCCCCTACGCCAGGCTTACACCTGCACTGACCACCATAGGGTGAACACTGGGATGGGTTAAAGCTTCCTTTGGGATCACAGTCACATTCTGAAACGATAAACGGCATAATTATGAATTAGTGATTGATAATAATTACTTATTTTTTTTGCAGACATTATTGAATTCAATAATGGCTGCCATTGACTTTCTTTCAGAAATAACAACTTACTAGTCTATAACAATCAACCAAAACAAATTACATGAATGACGAATGTTTTTAAATAGAGGAACTATTTACAGCCAAACTGAGTTAAAGTTAGTATTAAGAACTTACCAAGGGTTCCATTATAGATTTCTGTGCTTGCTGAGAACACAAGACTGGTGCAGTTAGCCTGTTCACTATCCATTCTGGACACAGCAATCCTAGAATTGACGCAATCTGATAGTGCACTCTGTACATGGTTGCTGGACAAGGTGAAGACTCTGGTTCCATTGATGTGAGGAACAAGAATAAGAGAATCTACCTGGATTTTACAGTCGCTGGTGACATTAGAATGATATGTCACAGTAAAATTATAATCCATTCCCTTCACAAGTGGTAAAAGTCCAGGCATTCTCCAGGCCTGTCCAGAGCCCTTTTTCAGATCAGCCAACATTACTGTATAATTGTTATGTAAGCCTGGACCATGAACCTTAAATTCCAATTCTGTATTATTTAGTGAGCACTGGCCAGGAAAAGTATATCGCACAATAGCAAAGTACTGATGGCCTACTTTGACGTTCACAAGATTGAAATGGACATGTTGGCCGGAGGACAATTGAGCATAGCCACGCCCAGTGTAGGCAGACCCAAAGCCATTAGCAGGGGTAAGGGTAACATAATTTCCCATGGCTGATTCTGCTTCAAGTAGTAGATAATCTAGTGCAGGGTAGAAGGTACCATTGACAGCACTGGTGCATAATTGGCCTTCCACTCCCTGTCGGCAATGGCATGCTCCTAAAAAAAGAGGGTTTAAAAAATGTGGTAAATTGACTGAAACAACCTCTGAGCTGTTCTAAGTCAGGGCATAGTTAACTGACAGAATGCTGAAACAACCTCTGGGCTAGTGATCTAAGTCAAGGCATGGCTAACTCACAGATTAAACCCTGAAACAACCTCTGGGCTGATCTAAGTCAGGGCACGGCTAACTCACAGATTGAACCCTAAAACAACCTCTGGGCTGGTCTAAGTCAGGGAACAGCTAACTCACACAGATTGAACCCTGAAACAACTTTTTGGCTGATCCGAGGTCAGGGCATAGTTACATATAACTCATGCATCAAATTTAAATTTAGCATGTTTGGTTTGGTTGAGAAAAGGGGAAAACCAGACAACCCAGAGAAAAAAACCTTCAAATCAATGGAAACTGGACAATCTCTACTAGAATATGTTATGCTTATTCCATGATTCGAACCTGATGCCTCAGAGGTGAGAAGCAAGAGCAATACAACTACACCACCATTGATTCACCATTTTCCATGCATTGATTCACTGGTCAAGCACAAAGAATTCAGTCAAGGTTGCAAGGTTCAAATTTGAATAACCCTTTGAAAGCACCTTGGCGCCTCGCTTGAGCCCTTTGTGTTTGACCAGTGAACCGATGTATGGAAAATGGTGAATTAACCTACCCACCTGTTTGCTTATCACACCCAGGAAAAGCTCCACCCAAGTCACAAGAACACTTCTTGCACTCCTCAGCTTCTCCTTGAGGGAATCCATGATAACCAAATTTACATTCATTACAGTGTTGGCCCTGTGTCGTCTCCTTACAGGTACACTGTCCATTCATTTGGTTACACTCAATACTCCCTCCTCTAGTGCCAAAGCTGGTACAGTTACAGTCTGGGAAGAAAATTAATTAACAGATATGAGATGGTTACCCTGTGTTTATCATGTAAACAATGTATAACAGTGTTACATGCAGGATTGGTGTATTATCACACATTACTATCAAAAATGTTTAGGAGTATAATGTTAAAGACATGCAAACCTTGGCATTCTCCCAAAGGAGGGATAGTAAACCCCCAGTGTCCTGGTTTACACTGATCACATTTCCGTCCATACACATTGGGTTTACATGTACATTGTCCAATCTTTTCTGTAGATGTAGCATTTTGAAGACAGCTGCCATTATTAACAATGCCATCAGGAAAGCAGTCACAAGCTGTAGAGAAACAAACACAAGCAGGTACAAAAAAAAGGTGGCTTTTAATATTTAGAGAAGAAGTCCAAACAGTTTAGGGGGGAGGGTTGGGGATACCCAGTGCCCACTACCTCTGGGAGTGTAATCATGTTTAGAGATGAGGTCATAACAGTTCCTATCTGACAAGACCAGATTTAGAGGGAGGGGAGGGGATACCCAGTACCCAACACCTCTGGAAGTGTAGTCATGTTTGAAACAGGGCCAAAACAGTCCCCATCTTATGGGACCAGATTTAGTGTATTCGCATACTTCTAAGCAACTGGTTTTTGTGTGTTAAAAAGACACATTTCAATGCGAAGCTGTCTGGTTTTACCAAATAAGGTGTGTAAAATCTTGCGTGATACAAAAAGCCAGTGCACAGAAGTATGCGAATACGCTAAAATTAATGTGGTCATACTTTTGCTCATTGTCCTATAACTTGGGTTCCTGCCCAGTACCATTGTTTTGAAAAAAAAATCAATATTCAATATGTTATCAATATTCACCACCCCAATAGTGCAGTTTTCTATATGACTGTGAAAAGTTCACGGCACGAACACGGTCGTGATATAGCAATGGATACGCAATACCAATCACATTGCACAAGAATTTACTCTCCATCCAATCAAATACCCAGAACACGGCATAAACACAGCGTGGACATGGTCACGCCAATGCAAGACCAATCATATTGCATGTGAAAAATATCAGCCAATTAAAATTCTAGAAAGCATCACAGTCACGGCATGTCACACTTACGCTTTTCACAGTCATACGAAAACTGCTCTAACAGCAGTGGTGCTGTGAGTTCAAACTGAAAAAATGAACTATCCTCTTATTTGTTTTCACAATAAACACAAAAATGTTAAGAGAGGAATACAAACTCACCAACACATGCACCAGCATCATTCAAAGGCTTGGCTAGATCTCTGAAGAACTTATCAACACACTTATCGCAGTGGTCTCCTTCTGTGTTGTTTCGACAACCCTTACATAATCCATATCCTAGTGTACTATTATAGATACAGCTTGTACCACGGCCATTACACTGACACTCTAAATATGAGTCAACAATATTTGAATGACACAGCACCAAATAAAACATTAAGATAAAGAGTGTAGGTTGATTCTTTTACAGTAAGCTTCCAAGGAATTTTGATCCAGCAAAGCTAAATAAGGAATTCAATAAACTGCAGAATGAATATCAAGCTGCTTTATCATTCTGACGAACACAGCTGTGAAATCAGGCTCTTTTTATTATTTTATTTCTATGTGTGATAGCATTAAACATTTTACTGTTATGCTTATAAAAAGCAAAATTCATCTACATTATTAGATTTGATTACCTTGACATTCATTTCCATGAGTTTTGTTCGCAGGTGACCAAGGACGGTTGTTAAACAGTGGCTTACAAACCTCACAGTCCCTTCCCATGGTATTATGCTCACAGGAACACTCCCTATTCATTAGAGAACCAGTACAAAACCTTGCATGTCCATTGCAGTTGCAGCGCCCTGTGATTTCAATATCCGATATTGCATAGTAGTATCTCTTTAGGTTGCCCCCAAGTTTTTCTAACCCATCAGTAGCAGGGTACTCTAACCTAATTCGCACATTTGTGGCAAGGAGATAGTCCTGTACTTTTGGGGTTTGGTAGTCACATACATGATACCTTGATCCACTGTCAAACACAACTTTGCCTAACTTGCGTGGATTCGGAAGGCTATATCTTTCAGTACATTCAACTTTAAATGGATCACTGGCATCAGGTGAATTTGAAGCCTCCATGTTGTAAGAGTTGTCACATCTACTAGCAAAATACTGCATGGGTTGCCAAGTATGGCCATCGTCAGTAGATTTCTCAATAAACATAGCTTTTGGTCGCTCTGTGTAGAATGTGACCTGAACATGCCCTGATATATGGTAACTTTTTCCAAACGACAAAGTAATATTAACTTTTAGAGGATTGTTTGTATTAGTGAGTCCAAGTTGATTGGTCTCGAACCAGTTCTGTGACTGCCACCATGTGTATTTCTGGGGTTCTTCATTATCAACAAGGTAGCTCTTAGGATGTTTCTCTTCACTGCTGCTAGCATCGCAGTACAGGTACTTTCCATCATCTGTAGGACATGGACCAGAAAGTTCACAATATTCTGATCTGCTGTTTCCACAAGTGTTGGTGACGGAAACATTGCGCTTCAGTGAGATAGAAACTGGCGAAGGAACACAAGGGATAGCATTTCCACTGGAATTATAGCAGCTATCAAACTTGCAGATTTGTCCATGAGACACCCAAAAACAGCTACCAAGTACTAAAAACCACACAGTCAAAAAAAACGACTTAGACATTTTTGAACTCAAATTGTACTCAAAAAATGCTCTCAAAGTGAACAGAAGTAAGCCTCATTGAGGATATACGTCGTACTGCTTTAAAAAGCGTTCAAAAGTCTGGTTTACATCGAACTTCGTGCACAGTTCTTTGCAAAGCTTGCAAAGCTTGTAGAAACTAAAGCATACTTGCATATAATTACTTTGTGGCAAGTCAACGCTGATATATAATTCATAATATTGGTCGACAAAACAAGTTAAACAAATTAACGTTTAAAAACTAATGTTACGCATGAACAAAAAACAAAAGATTTCATTAACGAAGTAAACTTTTAACTCTTAAAAGATTTGAACTTAATATTAGGACTATGATTTGAGGTTAAAATTAATACCCCATTCCACGAACAGCAATATGATTATATGAAAATAATACATGAATATTGTGAATGTGTCAAAATACCTGCTCAGCACAAATATCCCTTAAGATCCTGTCGTGTATTGTGGTTGGGCAGGTACTTGGAAAGCAGCCATGGATAATTCGAACCTTCACGACGATTCCACCGCCAAAAATAGCAGAAAAACCGCAAGGATGTACTGAGAGGCATACTTCTTGTCGTAAGTAAAGAAAAATAGAGAAATTTAAATTAAATTGTGGATGAACGACCTCGAAATGAAGAATAAAATTTCGAATTCAGCCACGTTTTTTTTCTTTTTAAAAATTGAAAATTTTATTTTCCCGCCAGTCTTTATTTTCATGGGATAAACAACTGACATTTAACACAGGCAACCCAAAAATAAAATAATAAATTTGATTTAAATATATTTCCTAAAATCAAATACAAAAACCCATGCGTTTTTACAGATAATCAGGAATGATAAGCTTTGCAAACTAAAATGATTCGGAATTTCCTTCAAAGTATGACTTTGATTTTTTAAGTTTGTCAAATGCTTTTTATGGGGCTCCTGTGGTTGGATAGCATCGAAGGCTCACAATCAAGATGGCGGCTGTTCTTGGACGTTTAGTGAACTCAACTTGCAGACGATCTGTTGGCTTGTAAGTAGAATCATAAGAAGATCTTTCTCAGTTTTATCGATATTGCTCATATTCACGAGCTTTTGTAATATTAGTTTTTTTTGTTCAACGTCTTGCTGTCAAAATTATTTGAAATACCTTTCTTACAACATTGTGATGTAAGCAATCATTTTATGATTTTATTTAGAATCCGTTGAACCAATCATCTCTTGAGATCAATGTTTATCCAAGCATGCAGTTTTTGCACGGCAATATGAAATTTGCTCTAAATCATCATCATCAACATCGTATCAGACACCAATATCATAAATTTGAGCCTCAAAATCATATTTTCCAGCCTCAATACCATGATCATCATCATCACCACCTCATAAGTTTTATCATCATCATCATCATCACCACCTTATAAGCATTATCATGATCATCCTCATTACAATCATCATCATCAACACCTCTTAAGCATTATCATCATCATCATCATTACCATAATCATTCATTATCATCACCACCTTATAATCATCATCCTCATTGGCATCATCTTTATGCACATAACTATACAGGGCTGCCAACTTTTCTGGATTATTCAGGAGTCTCAAGATTTTGCACCTCATCTCCTGGTCTCTGGTCTCATAGTTATTGGTCCAAATCTCCTGCATACCATCATCATTGACTTAAGGATCTTTGTTCAAGAAAATCTTGAATCCTGCATGCTCATGGTCGTATTACGCAGCTAACCTGCAGTTTCATCACAGTATTCCATATCTATAATTTCTACAGAAGTGAGTATTTTGGGGGTTGTTAAACCACCATCATCTTACTTTTCAGGATAACACAGTCACGATGGGCTTACACTGTAGAAAAAGAACCAATGAAGTCCAGCGTCACTTTTATCTCTGAACCAAAAGAAGGTCAAGAAGAACAAGACATTCCACCCTATGTGACAAGATATAGTTCCAGAGGGTTTAGAATCAAAAATGTCAAAGTTTTTGGATCTGTAGCTATAGTACCAGACAATTTCTTTCACTGGAAAGTAAGTATTTGCCTGTTTCACATTCAGCATTTTCATCCAACATTTATATATCAAGAACAATACTATGATTGGTCACGGCATTTGGTAGTTCAAGTTTGACCATTTCATTACCTTGGCATTATTTCTGGTGTTTTAGAGAAACTAGTGTAATAGTCAACTTCACAGTTCCCTGCGCCATCTCGAAAGGTAGCTGTGCATTTGCATCAAAGTGAGAGGAACGTAGAGCTTGCAATGATAGAGACCTTTTTTAAACACGTTAGACAATTATTCACATGTCTCTATCATTACAAGCTCACCATTCATCTCGCTTCGATGCAACGGCATGGCTACCTTTCAAGATGGCGCATGGAACTGTGAAGGGGACTATTGTCATGGTAATATTTTGAGGACAGAATCTTCTGCTTTTTACTTGTTTACTTAATATTTGTTTGGTTTTTGTGTACCATAGATTCATAATCCAAATGATATAACCCCAGAGAGTCTAAAACTTTTCACTTTAATGGATCCTTCAATAGGTAAGGCAATGCCACAAAACTGTTAATGATTATTTTTGAATTGTTTCTTGTTTCTTGGATAACATATAAGACTATAACACTCGTAATCTTAATAGACGAAATTTAGGTTGGAGGGGTGGGGCTATCTGATACCAAACTAAGTGACCCAAGTAGATGTAGATGTATATTCAAAACTAAGGGTCAAATCTCAGGAATGATTGTACTGTCTATGTGCATGTATGCTAAATAAAACAACATATTTAACAATTATTCGCCAAAGGCGAAGTGATTATCAGTGGAATATTAACCGAGCCGCAAGTCTTTTAGCTGTGAGGTAAATAGCACCATATTCACTAAGTCTGAGGGGAGTAATTGTTTTAGTATAATTTTTGAATAAAAGCTGAATATTAGAGAAAAGGCGAAATTGAGGATAAAAAAATGGTTTAGTATTACTTCTGATCTGGAAAACTTTGGAAAACCTCATAATCACCACTCCAGCGGTAATTATTATCTCAGAAACACAGGTCGCTCAACCAATCACTCGAAAAACTCAATATTCAAGCCTAAAATTATGCTAATAATTAGCATATATTATGTATATAATAGAGATAGTAATGATAAAAAGGTAAATTATACACTGTGAAAAGATGAAAAAAGTAAGTTTTATAATGGTGTATAACAGTGTATAATTTACCTTTTTATCATTACTGTTTCATTAGAAACACCGACGCAGCTCACACTASTTTTTAGCTAGTTATATCTTCTCATAACAGAGATAGTCACTACGGTCTCTCTCTCTAAGTCTCTGACAGCGGAGGGGCTAAATAGTACAGTCAACCCAAAGCAATAAAATCAGATCCCTGTTCATCGTTTATCTTACTTCATCCCTAATACAATTTCAAGCTAACCTTGACACTATGGATTTCAGACGTGCTCATCATTTTTCTCTATTTTCATTCATGTGGTACAAAGTAAGGGAACAGTCATTATTTACAGGTAGGGTGGG